GGAGAACCAAAATCACTAACACGAAAATCGCTGGTTCTCCCAAGGGTCAGTGTGTCTCCGAAAATTGGAGGGTGTTGGAATAGTACTGCTATCCGTGTACTTACCGAAAAGACCTGGCTTCATTACATGTAATTAGTGCAGCTTTAATCATCTTGACACTTTTTTTTCTGTAGAGCTTCACGGCTCTGAAATCTCTCGAGAGTAATTTATCAGGTGTCTTGAACGGCTTATTGGTGCTGTTTTTGTCACAGGATCTCCTGCCATGTACATGTTCCTTAATGGCAGTTGCGGCTTCCTCGGTTTTGTCGTCTCTCACGGAATTCTCTGTTTGAGGTAGTATTCCTGGCTACTGACAATGAGCAGTCTTGTGTTGTTTTGGAGCCGAATTTATTACTTTGTACTCTTCTGTGTCTCTGTTTGTTCCCCCTCCAAATTCATCGATTTAATGGTAAAATCTGGTTCCTTTATTTACACGGGCGTTAAAGTGTCGAAAGGGGGGTGGAGGGGGAAGGACCTTGTTTCGCAACATTGCTGAACACTTGAACGATACGTTAGATCGAACCTCGGGCTGTCCGCTGAATGCGGGCTGGCTCTACGTCTAGACGTCGGCGTGATTCACCTGATGCCATAAATCTGAAGGTGAGGAGATGAATAAAAAGGATGGGGATACGGTAATGATTGAAACTTTTTGGGATGCGCCACGCATTGTATCCTCATGCAGAACCGCAAGGGCGTCTAAATACGATTTGACTCGCAGAATGCTTGTGGGGGAAAGACAATGTGAAAAGAACTGTTTGATCCTTTTTGATCAGTCTGGGACCGATTTCAGGCGGGATGAAATGCTTGGCTGGCGCAGGTGAGAGCCGATTCATGACCTTTGGATCGTGCGCATAGTAAAAGGCACCGGAGCAAGTGCGCTATAGGGGGATTCAGAAGAGCCTTTGCGCAAAACTAACGCAGTGCGGCTCGAAGGTCCTTCGCTTCCGAGCTTAGTCAAGGATCCTCATCTGCATCACGGCAATCGCAGTTTTGCTTAATGGGAGTCCTTTGACCTTCGATCCTCTACTTCTCTCCTCCTTAGCCGGATTGTGGAACAGGCACCTTTCGCTACTACTCCACCTGTGCCCAGTTGTAGGAATTAAAAAAAAAACTGTTAGTTTGCTCCAGCTTCGGATGAGCTCAGCAGGAATTCAAGCGCATACATGACTCCATTAGCCTCGAATTCATGGTGGAAGCGTGTTCCTGACCAATGATCAACCCGTGACGGCTATGCCTTCGTTTTTGCTTACTTCTGGCCGTGCTGCAATATCCGAACGTTGATGACGGTATTCCCGTCTGTTTTGCGCTCATGATTTTTTCAAAGCGCCAATGTGAGTGCTGCAGTCTCTGAGTTTTTATTCTTCTCTCAGGTATGCGACTCACTGAAAATTCCGACCATGAGTTCCCTACTTATAAAAGACCGAAATTGGATCGAAGTGCGATTCTGGGCTGTTTTTTGTTGTGAGAATTAATTGGTTTCATGGCAGCTGCAAAACAACTTGTTTATGTTGGTGAAGCGCCAAGCGCTTTTGTGGTTCCCCAAGTTCCTTCAGCCCCATTTTTTTGATAAAATCTTTCGTTCCAAGGCGTTAATCGATTATATGGGAACTTTTTGTAAGGAGTCCTAAAAGCGGGGCATTTGGCCTTGTAAAGCCACGAAATGTTACGGGTTTCATTTTCAGGGCCACCTCTTCGAACTTTTATGCTGGGCTTCTTGTTGTACTTCGCGAATGAAGCAATACGAGCATCAGCATTGGTCGGACATCTGTGGACGGGCGGGCGCTGTGGGTGTCCGGTGGGTGTGTTGCAGGCATTATAAGGGTACGTCCCCTTAGGAATGCGACCAATAGCTAGCGCTTGCGCGGGTCCGGGCTGCGGGGCGGGCCCAACCCGGGCCTCGGGCCGGGGTTCGGCAGTACCTCCTTGGGCGGCGGGGGCTGCGGCGGGGGACGCGCAGCAACGGGCCACGCGGGGCGGCGGGGCGGGAGCGCGCGGGCCCCAAACCGGGCCCCCCCCCGGCGGGGGGGCGCCCCCCCGAATCTTCTTGTGTGTGTAAATCTACACGCATTGGAATTGATTCATGTGCCACCTGCCTTCATTGCTGGGATGGCGTAAGAAATGATCGTGAGCTGGTTTCAAGCGTTTAGCCCACGCTTCCGGGGAGCAGGAGTCCAGATGGTGGATAATTCTTTGTCCAAAGAGGTTTCAGCGTACGGGCCAGCTGGTTCGCAACCCTGCCTCTTTGATGAGTTTACAGGACCTAACAAAATTGCTCGGTAAATTTACATGTTTTTACAAGATGGTCCGCTACGATGGACTAGCGCCTATCCATGTGTGCAACCCACTCATCGCCCCGACCTCCTCCTTCTGGTTTTTAATGAGATTACCTATACTTACACTTAATGATATTTTCCAGAAACGTAGAAACATTTGTATGCACAGGGTACAGCATGGGGATGTGCGAAATGGCGGTGTGAGTACGACCCCCCCCCCCTCGAAGAGGGTTCAGATACGACCCCCCCCTCCTGCTTGACAACCAGATGCATGTTTCACAGAATGCATGACACCAGAACCAGATGCATGAAAACCAGATCATGTTCACCACAAGTGGCCTCCTGTAATGGAATCGGAAAAAATGGACTCTTCTCTAAAATCCAGGCTATTAAGAGGCTGTTTCAGCCTCATGCAATATGAGGCTGAACAACAGCCTCATTACCTACAATTTTGTCTTAGGATTCAAAATAAAACTCCTCGTTCGATAACCATGTATGACATGCAACTTGTAAGAAGGAACACAATCGAAACAGCGACTAATGGTGATCATTGATAAGCTAAATTGGTGAAAAAATAGCCCAAGGTCAGCGTGTCAGGCCCCAGATGTGCATTCAATGAATGGTGACGGGGGGAAATCATGAGAAACGTGAACGACACAACAAAGCGAAACATGAAAAAATGCGGAGCCAAATGAAAAAGATAACAGGCGGCAGTAAATCGTTAAATCGTCCTATACTTGGCTATCGATCGCCAAGACTGCGACCGCTTTCGCTGCAAAAACGTCATTGGGAAGTAACTCGAAAGTCAGCGTTCTGGGGTCTTTTCAGGAGCTTATATCTCTTTTAGGTGCGGAGCTTTTGAGGAATGGTGAGCAGCATGCAACGGCAAAGTTTCTACTGTTGTGTATTCTACCTAGTTGCAAACTGAACAATCCCCCGTTGGTGAAATATTCCGGATGGGTTTTGGATAGGCTAGGGGTAAATCGCAGATGTTTCCACCTGCGGTTCACGCCGAGCGTTAGCTGCGTGTCAAAACGCAATTTCATCATCGATTGAAATCGTTCTGAAACCCCTCCATCTTTTCTCTTTCCAATAAGCTTTACAGTTTTTCTGAAGACCCACTAGTTCAGGAGATATTTTAGATGGGTCACAGACGCGCTACCCTCTGACCCACCCAAAAAATCGACTCTTTTGTGCCACTGTGAGGATACACCTTCGGAAACTTTAGTGTGCCTCCAAAACCCATATTTCCCTTCAAATGAGTGAAAGAGGAGACTTCGCTATCACTGTATTCGATTTGGTCGATCCGATGTGCGCGTGCATTGCGGTCTATGCAGAGGGTGGTGGAAAGGTACTATGTAAATTCTGATTTCAGGTGCTTTTACCCATGCAAGCAGATGTTTGTTTAGGGTTTGGAAAGGATGATACGCACGAATTTGTTTGAGAAGTACTATTGAGCTATCTGATATTTATTTATTTATTTATTTATTTATTCTTGATATTCTTGCTATATTGCTAATAAATTTTTTATTATTTTGTAGTCCTATTTACATCCGGGTCTTCTGCAGCTTTCCGTTCCTTCCATCAAACTTAGCAATGACACTTTTGTACTGTTTGATGCCTAAGCGAGGCCTACTGTTTTGCCGATAGCGCTGCCATGTCCTCCGCAGCCAAGTACGAACCCATTTTTGGGGATTTTGCATGAAAAGAGGCTGTTAAACGTAGCAGTTCAATCTGTAAAGAATACACTCATAATAATTTCCATTTTTTTTTTTTTTTAACATCTCAACTTCCATAGCTCCACTCCCACTATCAACTGAGCTTTGCCGGCTACCTGGTGACTTGCATGGTTATCGACCCCCCCTCCCCAGCGACCAAGTTTGTCAAAACAGCTTTTCGCCCGATGGGGCCATTTGGTCCCCATCGATCACTACCAACGCATCCTGGAGACCTGTAAATTCATGTAGAGGTATACAGCAGCATGAGCTTCATGAACGCTGGACTTGAGTACACAGGTCTCACCAGGGTAAGACGTGTAAGTTAGCAGGTACTAGTAAAAGAAACTAGCGAGGGTACAAAGTGCTCCCTTTCCTGAACCGAACAGCACCACTATCTGCCGTGACATTCTCATTTTTGATGAGGGGGTGGGTGGAAGAAATAGGACGAGTATTTTCTAAAAAAACTTGCACCTGTGAACAGGTATAAATGCTGCAAAATCCCATGTCAATTGCTACTCGACATGTTTAAAGATTGCGTGCCTGGCTGCTAGTTATCAGACTTATGATTGTTTTGACCCCTTTTGGAGTCTTTTGACGGATCCTTGAGACACTTCAGACTAGAGAGGTGCTCATAAATACAACTTCGATTCGTCTTCTCTCACTGCTTTGCTCATTATATCACGTTATTAGATTTTATTAGTTGCACTTAAAAAATCAAATGTTTCAAAAAGCGCTTGAAGAGTAAAATCATCAGGTGAAAAAAGACGATTTTTCCGCTCACTTGTCCTACTACCACTTTTGTCCTCTGCTCGTGACTGTTTTCCTTTTTATTTTGTTTTGTTTTGAAAGCACTCAACAGGATTTTTCTAGTGATTTCTGTGCAATTCGTGGGCTCTATGCGCTTGTGTTTGATGCGTCATGAAGTGGAAAGTTTCAGGTTTACTCACTGTAAACCCAATAGTCGAAGGCAATGCGGTGGCTGATTCTGCTACTGCTGATTGCCGGTTGCCGAGCCGAAGAATGGGACGCGTACAACTACCCGAATCCCACAGCTGGACAGTTCAAGGAATGTAAAATGAAGACTACTGCAAACATTTGCGATCCAGATGGTGTGCTCTCCGAACAGGCTCGATATCGACTCGATCATGATCTGAAACAGCTGGAAAGCAGAACTAGGCAGGTGGGTCGGAGGATCATATCAATTGGCACTTACCATAGATCAGTTATGGCGGCAACGTTGAGTTGTAGGCCAGACTCGAACTTCAGATTATCAGGCTAGAGTGCTCACGAGAAGGGCAAAAGGCTATCTCTATGGTGCAGTATCTCACACACGCACCACTGAGATATCCTTTTGTGAGCGTAAAGTCCCGGTTCAAGTTCTGTATTCAGCTAGGGCCAAATTTTTCGTTTATAACTCACCGTTTCTGTGGCAACTTTGACACCGCGAGCTATCGCGATGAAAGGTGGTTGGAAGTGTGGGCATTGCGATTCGCCGATCTGCTAGTGTTATGCGAGTGATCTAAGTTCCTCTTCATATGCATTTGCAGGACCGAGCTCCAACGTTCTGCGATAAGAAGGGTGTGACAGCCGCAATGGCAGTGGCTCGACATGTGAAGGGTGGTTCAACGGTTTGTTATCTTTCGTTTTTTTTTCTTCAAAATTCCGGAACAGTAGTGTAAAGGAGATTCAATCAAACTCTGTTTCACGAACCACTAGGAGCTGGCATTTTAGAATGTCTTTTCTTATTCATTCGTATTTTCGTTTTCGTCCAAGCAAAGACAGTGCGTTGAAGCCCAGCAAAACTCTATAAGGGAAACTGAACGTCGGCTTTAAGAATTTACCTGAACTTCATATTTATTTAAGAGTGATGCGCCACTGAAAATGTTCCAAATCATTTACTTCTTCTACTGTGGCAACTTACCTGATGGTTCAGGAGTCTGATTCCCACTCGAGTTTAATAGCCCATTCGTTCCTCAGAAGGACGCTCGCTTGAATTATGTAAAACACCTGGTGAATTGGCTGTTCCTTTTTTTTCGAGAGAACGCTCCTTTCAATACTAGCGGTGGGGCGATAAGAGAGCTTGCTAGATGTACATCGACCTCTTGCCCAAGCAAGACGGAAATCATTCGTATGTAAACTGCCCTAATTGTAGAAGACGGTACATATTATCTGAGGTTCTCGAATTGAGCGATGCCTTGTCTGTGCGATACGGGATGGAGAACCGAAGACTCAGTCAACATCCGCAAATCGTAAGGGTATAGTCCTTACCGGAAGGGATTTCACGCTTTGTGAACAGCATCTTGTTAGGGGAACCTTCTGCTAAATACGACTCCCTCTCAAGTTTTCCTCCTGCAAACCCTCTTTACAACAAATTTTGTTGTTCTGCAGTCAAGCGAAGTGATATTGCCTCCGAATAAGCAAAAAAATTACTTTGAGAAACTCTTCCCTGATGCCAAATATGACCTATACAGCTACTTTAAAAAGTATATCTCTTTGGAAGGGTTTCTCCCGTTGCCCAGTTGGTCTTCTTAGAGGTAGCAGTGGTCTTTCAATAAGACTTTCTCATGTCTCTGAAGATCGTAAATATGTCCTACGGCTATGTTGACTGGGAGTACGTATCCGCGCGCGTTTACTTTCTTGGAAGATGTGCTCTTGTGCAGAGTGATAGGAAATAAGTAGTCGTTTTAGGGAATCAGCAAAGTGGGGGTGGAGGGAGGGTGCTGTTATGAGGGCCTATCAAGCTACAACATACCAATCCGAACGCCCACCACGCCCGCCCGCCCACAAATGGACGACCGTACCTGATGCTTCATTTGCGAAGTAAAATATGAAGCGAAGGGATTGATATGAAGCGGCTGCGGTGCTGCATGGATATATGAGTACATACGTGCAGCCGTACCTACCGTAGCGGTTATTGGCAAGATGCCTACGGGAAACTCGTCCGAAATTGCTTTTTGAGTCATGAAAGGCGAAGGCTTTTCTTCGCAGTTTGACCTTTTCACTTCGTTTTTCGCCAATTTCCCACTATATAGCGCCCTGCTAATATTTTAGGCCGAACACTAGATTATCGTGCCAACTACCTTTAACTACCAGAATGCCAGCACCAAAAACAGTGAAAGGGCAAGTGTCCTAGGAGTGGGTAGCGTCATTGTACGACTGAGGAAACGTAGGGAGG